GGTGGTTTGTACAAATCATAAATACTTAATTTGAAAAGAAGAAATTGATGATGTTTGCTGTTGAGCCCTTTTGTAAAAATGTCTGCTACTTGCTCCCTTGTTCTAAGAAACACGAGTCTTGATTAGCCCTTCTTTAAGTTTCTCTTTAACTAGATGACAATCTATCTCCATATGCTTTGGTTTTTTGATGATATATTGGGTTTGAAGTAATATGCAAAGCTACCTTGTTATCACAATTCATTTTTTTAGGCTTCAAATTTGTAATATGCAATTCCTTTAAAAGTCTCACTAACCAAACTACTTCACATGTAGCTAAAACCATTGCTTTGTACTCGGCTTCAATCGAAGATTTAGAAACTGTATGTTGCTTCTTTGTTTTCCATGATAAGAGGGAATTATCAATAAATACATAAAAGCCGGTTAAAGACTTCTTAGTCATAAGATAAAAAGCTCAATTATAATCACAAAATACTTTGAGTTGCAAATCACTAGATTAGGACAACAAAATACTAAGCCCCGGGCTGCCTTTTAGATATTTCAGAACTCTTATTGCTGAATTCATATGAGATATCTTCGTTTGATGCATGAAATGACTAAGAATTTGTAATACATAGCATATATCGAGTTTGGTCACCTGTCAAGTAAATTAGTTTTTCCCACCAATCTTTGATCTTCGGTAGGATATTTAATAGCGAGGTTTGCACTTGCATTATGAATGGCCTCGTTAAACTCAACTGTGGTAAGCTTTAAATTTTCATCCAATGGCATCTCCACTAGTTTTGAAGCAAGCAAACTCGCATCATGTAGTAATTCCATAGTATACTTTCTTTGATTCAAATACATTCCTTGTTTGGATCGAGCTTTTTCTATTCCTAAGAAATATTTCAAGCTACCCAAATCCTTGATGTAATTGGTTGCATGTTAAAAACTCTTGAGCTATTGTATGCGTTTAACATCGCTTCCTATAATCAAAATATCATCTACATATACTAGCAAGACAACAATCTTAGTAACTATCACCTTAATGAACATAGAATAGTCATTCTTTTATTGAGAATATCTTGCTAATATCATTATCTCATTGAAGTTAGAATTCCATTGCCTTGAGGCTTGCTTTAAACCATAAAGGGACTTAAGCAATCCGAATAGTAAGCTTTCCCCCGTAGTGCTAAGTCCCGGAGGCAAAGTCATATAAACCTCTTCATGGAGATCTCCTTGCAGAAAAGCATTAGTGACATCCATTTGACAATAGTTATGACAATGATGGTTCTAATGATACCATTTTAACAATCGGTCAAAAATTTTCACCATAATCAATGCCTTCTTGTTGTTTATATCTCTTAGTTGCTAATTTAGTTTTGTATCTTTCAACACCGCCATCCGACTTAAACTTCACTTTGTAAACCCATTTACAACATATGAAATGTTTCCCTAATGGTAAAGGAACCAAGTCCTATGTTCTCTTCGATTTAAGAGCTTGAAGCTACTTGGTCATAGTATTTATCCACTTAGGATCTTTAATGGCTTTTGAATAAGTACTAGGTTCTCTAACATATGAGATAGATGTAAGAAAGGTATAATAGGTAGGAGAAAAAGAATTGAAAGAGATGAAATTTGTGATTGGGAATGAAACAACGGGGTTAAGAGTAGTAACATGAGATTCGAGTAAAGACAAAAAAAATCTTTAGACTAGAAAGGTTGTTTGGAAATTCCGATGGATATACGAGGAGGAATCATGTCATATAAAAAGGATGAAATAGAAGGATGAGGAGAAACATAAAAGGATTTTAGAGGACAAGAAACTGAATCCGAATGAGTGGAATATGGAAGAGAAGACATCGGATATGATGATACATCATCATTATAGGTCCATTGATAAATAAAATTAGGAGTATGGATTATAGGAGAAAAAAGGACAGAATTGGTATCTAATGAAATAAAAGAAGGATGATAAGGGAACATAGACTCATGAAACAAGACATCACGAGACATAAAAACTTTTTGAGTATGTAAATCCAAGACTTGACAACCTTTTTGTAAGTGATGGTGACCTAGAAAAACATAAGGTTTGGATCGAGGAGAGAATTTCTTAGGATAAGATAAAACTTTGGCATAACATAGACATCCAAACACTTTAAGATGATTAAAACAAGAGGTTTATGATACAATAACACAAATAGAGTTTTACCATTTAAAAAAAGAGTGAGAGTTCTATTAATAAGATATGTGGAAGTTAAAATACAATCAGTCCGTAATCTAATAGATATATTCGATTGAAACATAAGAGCTCGAGTAATATTGAGGATGTGTCTATGTTTTCTTTCTACAACTCTATTTTGTTGTAGAGTGTAAGGAATAATTGTTTCATGAAGGATACCTTTAGAAGAAAAAAATCTTGACAATCGGTTTAAAGGAATTCGAACCTCTATCTAACCTTACTCATTTGATGTTACGGAGAAATTGTGTATGAAAAAGAACATAAAATTTATATATTAATTGCAGTGTTTGGGATTTAGTCTTCATAAGAAATGTCTAAGTCCCTCTAGAAAAATCATCAACAATGGATAAAAAGTATTTTTCTTGATTGTAAGTAGGATGTTTTATAAGGATCCCATATATCAATATTGATAAGCTCAAACAAAGAATGAGTGATGGATGTACTATATGAAAATGCTTGGTCTTGTTTGTTTAACAAGATGACAAATGTCACATAACAAATCAGAATATGAAGAAGGTACTGATAAACCAAGAATCAATTTTAGTCTAGAAAATAATATATGGGCAAAATCTTTATGCCAAATTATTACATCACCTAAAATATAAGACTTATTATGACTAGCTTTATTACAAAAAAAGTTACCAAACCTTTGAGAAACTAAAAAAGTATTCTTAGGAATGTCAATAGAAGTAGTAGTTTGAAAACAAAATGAAGATGAAGTTGTGATAGACTTAAATGTGTTTGGCATGATATGGTATAAACATCTTTAACTTTACCAATCTTCTTTGTCCTCCCATTCTTGAGGTCTTGAAAGAGATAAACATATGGTTAAAAAGATGCTAAATAATTATTGTTAGTAGTGAATTTAGCTATTGACAACAAATTGAATTTGAATTCGGGTAAGTAGAGAACATCCCAAAGGTTTATTGAGGAAAAAGAGAATGAACCTATGTGAGTGACTTGAATTCTATTACCACTAGGTAATATAATAGTGTAATATGATGCTAATTTCCTAAGATTATCTAAGCAATCAAAATGTTCAATCAAGTGAACATTAGCTCCTGTATCCACCTTCCATTCATCATTAATAGAGACAATATCGGTAAGGCTATAAAAGAACTCACCGACCATGTTTGTTACGAGTTCGACCATTAGATTAATTCTTCCCGAGGTGGCATCTCTTGATAACAAATTCAATATTTGTTGGTATTTTTTCTAGAAAAATGCGGGAGGTGAACACGACTTGTTGGAATTCTCATTTGTATTATCAAATGTTTATGTTTTTAAATTGTTGTGATGACTAGCAAGTATCATATCCTATAAAATCTGCATTATGTGTATTATAAGATCTTTGTCTATCTTCATCAAAAGTAGTATTTGCATATCTTCTTCCTCTAGTATTCCTAGAAAGCTTCTTATTTTAATTTGGATGCCCATGAAGTTTATAACATGCATATTTGATATGCCATAAGATATGACAATAATCACAAATAATGTCTCTTCGCCAATTGCCTCTCGTCATTGAATTGTTTGCCTTGATATGTAGTTCTAGTGGAATAAAATGCAATAAACACCTTTTGATGTGGATGAGGTCCCCTCCGTGATTCTTCATTAGAAACCATAAAATAAGCTTGTGAATGACAAGGCATAGGATTCATTAGCAAAATTTGAGACCTCATAGGTTGAAATTGATCATTTAATCCCATCAAAAACTACATCATCTTGTGTTGTTATGTGTACTCAACAAAAGGTTAAGAAACTTCACTTTTACATCTTAGACAAACACAAGTTAATATAAATATTAAAAAAATCATACTCGGTCCCAAAAAATGCTTCGACTTTGAATAATAGACTACTACACGATCGGTGCTTTGAACTAGTGAATTGATTTCCTTATGTAGAGAAAAGTTTTTAGCTTCACGTTGTTTATCAAACCTTTCTTTCAAGTCCTTCCAAACTTCTTCGAGTATATTGATACTATATTAATCCACTCGAATAGCTATGTAGATACTAAATTCAACATCCAAGCATGAACCAAAGCCTTGCATTTCTTTCATTGTTTAACAAAACCATCCTTGCTCTTTGCTTTCAATGAAATCATCATCGTCTTGCTCCAAGAGCTATAATCTTTTTCACGTACGAGTAAATGTGTAACAAGAATCGGATTCGGTGTATTTAATGGATAAAGATATAAAGGATCATTTGCATCTCAAATTGCTACCGCAGATCTTAAAAGAACTAGAAATATCAGTTGGATTTGCCATGAATATGATATGAAGAACAAATTTATGAACAAAATTCTCGGAGAAAGATCACTAGATCTTTAAAAAAAAATGCAAGAAGAAATATGATTTAGATGCTAAAAGCATTTTCTTTTGGAAGAAGAAGAAGACGAATTCAATGGATCTAATACCAAGTTGGAGTTTTTTTTTTTTTTTTTTCCATAATGAGGTATTTTTAAATCTTATTTCTTATAATAGGGTAGTTTTAAACTTATTTCCCATAATAAGATACTCTATGTCAAATAGGAGTCATTTCATTTTAATAAATTGACATGTCAACTTTAATTTCTTTTTGTTAAAAATTCAATTTTCACAGTCTCTCTCTCTCTCTCTCTTTGTTTCGATCTCTCTTAGTTTTTCAATCTAGCACTTGGTTTTTATCAATTATTGGTTTAGATTCAAGTCTAGAGAAATATAAATTAGGAAAAAAGTTATTATATGAAGCATGACATTAGAACTGTTTCCCCAAATAATTTAGTCTTCTTTCCACTACTTCCGTCCTAATTCCCGGTAACCCTTTCACCACCAAGCTTTAAACTAAGGCCACCAGTTTCTTGATCATTCAAATTGTCATCATCAATGACAAGAACCCTTCTCTTTTTTCCAATTCTCTCTTTCCTTTCACAGCTCCTAGATTCACTTCATCGGAGCATAAGCATGAGGATGAACTATTGGACAAATTCCTAGTGGTCGAAATTCCTGTCCCAACCCCAAGAGGGAAAAATTGCCTACTCATACTGGTTGATGGCACCGGATTCAAAGGGCTAGCAATTAAAAGATCACCATCCCATTTCCAAATCATTTAAATTCCATTCTAAAGCTTTCTTCCCTACTGCCTGCATATCTGTGGGGCTCACAGAATAGAAAAGATGAGCTTCGTTTCCAAATCTGGCCTCCATATCAAATACCCCAAAGATCCAAAATTTCACTAATTGAACCAACACTGATAATCAAAAAGAAAAAAAAAATAGCAAAGCCACATATAAACTAACCCAAAAAAGATGGCATATATGCCTACATGGCAAAACTATCCTTTTTTTTATACATAAGATTTAAAATACCTTATTTTGAAAAAATAGATTAAAAAGTATCCTATTCAGGGGAGCCAAAAAAAAAAAAAAAAACTCTACCATGTTGAGAAAGAGAGAATCTAGGAAAAACTTCTCTTTTGTTTATTAACCACTTACTGGATAAAGTTTGTTACAACACATTATATACCTCCTTAACTATAATCCTCTGCATGTACAACTGGATGATGGAAAATATAAAATACCCTTCTCAATAGTACGGAATCATAATCGTTTCCATGATTTGTGTTAAACTTCAAACAGTTAATATTTTAAAAGCTTGTGTTATTAATTAGTAGTATCAATTGAGTACCAATATTTTCATGTTAATGATAACATAGATGATCATAATTTGTACTTTGTAATTTGTTTTTATTACAATTTTTATTAGCATTTAGAAAAAATCAAATTTCAATTCTTTTTCTCATCACTGTATACACGATCTCTTACAAGTGAAGGAGCTAGTTGATTGATTTAATATTATTTCTAGACGTATTTATTTATTTTTAATCTGTTTAGCTTCCAAAGAACCTGTATTAAATTTATATGTATTGTCCACAAATGAATAATTGCGAGCCTTAATTTCATGCTTATTGAGCAATTTGTTTCCTGCCTGTTTTTTTTCACTATTTTTTTTTCAATGTAGCAGTATTATTATTTTGTGTTAGAATGTCACTCTTTAAAGGAGACTGCAAATTTATTTCCAGATATATAAACTATCCATAATTAACAAAAGAGAAACATACAAAATAGTTACAAGGATGCAAGATACATGTATTAATTAATTATTGCCATACGTCTCTTTAAAAAAAAAAAAAAAAAAAAAAAAAAAAAAAAACCCTAGTTGATCTCTAACAATGACTGAGTGATCAAAAGGGGTTAATTCGTGCTACATCTTAAAATGCCTCAAAATCAGCTCTCTCGAGTTTGAATCGCTCTCGAACATACGAAATGTAGGTTGCAGCTTTCATGTCTACATTTTCGTCACCACCAGAGTCTGGGAAACTTCTCAACTTAGTAGTGGAAACCTTTTGGATTGATGGAGGGTTTGGGCAATAGCTCTGGCGAGTGGGAGAATCAACAGGACTGCCATTTGGAGTATACGGGCTACTACTAGATTGCAATGGCTTGGAAAGCTTGGAAGGCTTGGTCATTCCAAACAAAGACTTGACCAGCTTACCTCTCACAAACCCATGATTTGTTCCCTTGTGTTTTGCTTCCATTTTTTCTTCAACTAGTGGAAGACAAGAAGAGTTATGTGAGTGGATGTGGCAGTGTAGTTAAGATTACAAGTTTTTTGCCTATGTGCATTCCAAAGAGGCATTTTAGCTATATTTATAGATGGAGCTGCCATACATGAGCGTCCAATTCTAGTAATTTAAATTGCAAATATACCCCTCCAGTTTATTTAAATAGGACAATTGTCCCTTATTATGGTGATTTGGTGCCTTTTGATTGGGAATTAAATGACCAACAATTGGGCAAAATTGGCAAACTGTAATCCAAGTGCCTTTGTGTGAATTGGGCAAAAGTAGCTTTAGATAAACATGAAACGTATTGTTGGTCCACCGCCCATTACGGTCCAAGATTTGGAATGAAGGGTTTGGATTATATTCCCAAGTTCATGTTGAGCTACTTTGATTTGAACTGTTTGCTTAGATATGGTTCATGGAGAACTTAGTGTTGACTGTTGATACTTCCCTACCAAGCACATAGCAATTAAGAAGATACGGGTTCTTTTTCTTTTCTAGACGTTTTTTTTTCTTTTCTCGATCTATCCATGATAAAAAAAAAAAATGCTATATGTTTGGCTAAAAAATGTGGAACTCTTTCTTATTTTGCAAAAAAAAATAAAGTAAATAAGGCATTATCATGTGATTAAAGTTCATCATAAGCAAGTAGGGTCATTTAAAAAAAAAAAAAAAAACTTTTGACGAAGCTCATTGTTGTACTCCAAATAAAAACTGTAACTTATGGTATACTACAAGATATGATGGAGCATAAATCATCCTAAGACGGTCCAAAAGGCATAAGAACGGGAGTCAATAATAATATCTGACGTCGTTTGAGCATGAAAAACGAATTTCTCTGTGAGATCTTTTGTCTTCGAAAGTGCCAGCCCAAGGACTCAGATACATGGTAAGCTTTTTGAGGATCCACGGTTAATCGTTTAACCGAAAGGAAACCGCCCTTGTCTCTGCATACCTTTTCTTCGTGAGATGATCCACAAAGCATCATATAATATTTGAGTTTTCCCACTATATAAATTCTCTATTTTTCATTTTTTTTTTAGTTTAAGTGAAACTCTCTATTTTTTAATTAATTTTGATAGAAATCATTGTTTACAATGTCATTTATTACTAATTTAACGTAACATGTTATTATTGGACTCAGTTTTATTATTAATTCAACTAGAGTCTTTCATTGATATCTGTAACAAGATTTATTGACTGAATCTAATAATAACGTACCGTATTAAATTAATGGATAGTTTTACAGGCAGTGTTAGTTTTCTCTCTTGACTGGAAAACAAAATAATTAGAAAAGAACAAATATAGTTGGAAAAAAAAAATCAAGAAGAAAGTGATGCATGTTATGTAATTTCACGCCCTTTTCTTCCATAATACCGTGACTTACGTTTTAACCAGCAAGGAGTTTGAGGAAGATAGGGCTTCATAAATGCCATCCTAAAAATACAGTACAATCCATAAAATTAAGGACATGTTAACTCTTCTCAAACATACATTAAATTAACAAATACTCCTTGCATATTCGCTCGTTTACAATCTTACTCTCTATCAATATTGTGGAAAATCAATTTTGCTTTTTAACTTTATAATTTTTTTAACTTCAATTCAACGTTCCCCCCTTTCATTTTGTCTCTGTAAAACGCAGTTGATAAGATAATCAAAACATTCACATGCCAATTAAATCATGAAATAGGAGGGAAATCCATCCCCCCCCCCCCCCCCCCCCCCCCAAAAAAAAAAAAACCAAAAGTCTTCAACAACACCTCCTTACAGGTGCTTGTTTTTTAACGGTTTTTCGTTCCCTAACTTCAAAATTTTATAAAAACCTGCATGAAATATCAAACTAATGTAACATAATTTATATTGATTAATTGATAAATATATTTTTTAATTAAAAAGTTTGAATTTAGAATTCTTATTACAGATGACAAAATTTATAACACCGTGAACTACTGAAAATAATACTTCAATATTTAATAAAATTCTTTTTACTACATTCATCATGTACGTCGGATAATCTTGCTTTTATTTTTCATGTTAAATTTCTTTTTTAAAAATTTATCTTTAATATATGTAAATAATTTGATTGTATTGGTGACGTTGAAAATAAGGAGTTGTCCAATTATATGTAGTTGTCCAATTATATGTAGTAACCCGACACAATGCAAAAGTCTATAGATCATAGATGTTTGAGTGCCTACGAGGCTACGAGACGTGCGTAGCTTATATAAAAGAGATTTGCATTTTCTTTTTAATTATTTTTAGTGCAAGGAATTAAAAGGAGAATGGATGGATTAGATGAGCGTTGTGTTGTCAATTGGCCCTCAGAATTAGTGTAATGGTTTCAAAGGTAGACCCAGTTGAGAACTTGTGTTTCAGTTTCCAGTCCCATGTATGTGAGATGTTGGACTGGATGGTTTTCTTTTTTCGTTTAATTTCAACAATAATTCAATTTATACTTATATAATATTTTAAGTTTTTCTTCTATTTTTAAATTTTTAATTACATTCTATTTGTTTCAAAAAATTGTTTAAACATTGAAAATGTTCTTGTTATCGATTTTTCTAACTATGAACATATTTTTTTAACTGAAATATCCTTCGTAAAATGCAAAAAAAATAAAAAATAATAATAAAAAAATAAAATCAGATGACTTGCCTATCCTATTTTAAAAATCTTTAGAATTTTATTTTATTTATTTTTTTACATTTCAATTGAGAGTATTTTTATTAAAACATTATCTATAATCGAAAAAATTAATTAAAAAAGATAAATTAAATATTTTAAGTAATTTTCAAAAGCAAACGAGATTTAACTAAAAAATTAAATTTTACATGTATCGAGATCCCATACAATTTGAATTTTTTTGATTGAAACCCCAAGTTTTTTTTTAATCCAATTTAAGAATTCTACTCTTATGTTATTATTGCTTCGAGACCCTAATGTGTTACGAAAACAAAAGTGACGAGCTTTAGCCAATAACGACTTTTTATATGTTAAGATGGGTTCAAATTAGGTTTTAACGAAAAAAAAATTCTGATGAATTTTAAATAACTAAATGAATAATAAAATTAAAAATAGGTTAGTAAAATATAATTCGATTTTCACCTACTAGGGGTGAACAAAAGGTTTCGTTAATCGAAAACCGAATACAACCATACCGAATTATGGAATTTGGTTCAGTTTTGAATTTTAAATTTTACCATTTATAATCGAATCGAAAAACCAAAATTTATTTCAGTTTGGTTCGATTTTTGAAAAAAAAATCAATTCAAATCGAAAATCGAAATTTATTCCTAATCTAATTCCAATTTCCAAATACCAAATCGGCAAATCCCGTCAGTGTCTGCGTGACTACGTCTCTCACTCTCTCACTCCTCAATCCAAATACCAAATCCCATCAGCGTCTGCATCTCTCAATCTCTCACTCCTCACTCCTCATATCAGATCTCGCTCTTTATCTCTCTAGACTCAGTCTCAGATCTAACTATCTCAGTCTCACTCTCATCTCTCACTCTCTCGACTCTCAGATCTCAGTCTCTCTTTCAGCCTTCAGGTTTCGGCTTCATTCCTTTCTCAAATCTCAGTCTCTCTCACTCTCTCAACTTTCATCTCTGTGATGTTGCTATTATTATCTTCCATGTGTGCGAGCGAGGTACTCTTTGCGATTGAAGATTCTGTTGAAACTTGTTATTGATAATTTGGTTTCTTGAATTTGGAAAAAAGCTGTTTTGTTCTAGTTCTGCCAAAACATAATAATATAGTTGATCTTATGCTTCGTTGTGGACTTGAATAATGGAAAGATCATTTTATCTCATCTGATAACATGCAAGTCCAAATTGTGATCATCTGTGGTTTTGATTTTTAGTGAATCCAGATGCACCTTCTAAGGGGTATCCATTAAGATATAGGCGAGGGCAATCTAAAACTCTGTGACTTCAATACATAAATACAAAGGATATGAGGTTGGCTGTAATCTGATTTTCCTTTGAATATCAGGCAAAATATTTTAATTTCTGAGATTACAGTGTAAACATTTGGTTATTGCAGGGTGACAATAGGTACTTGGAATGTTGCTAGAAGACATCCATAGGAGGATCTTGATATTGATGATTGGCTTTGTACAGAAGAACTATTAGATATTTACGTCATTGGGTAACTATTTCATCACTTTGTTTTCTCATCTCGATGACTGGATTTATTGTAACCATTTATATATGCTTATATCCAATGCATTTTCTATATCAGGAAAACTTTACATCTTCTTCTCTCTGCCTCTTCATGCATGCATGTGCCCCACTTGTTTGTGAATGTGATCGCTTCGCTTTCATGTTCTCTGATCTGTTTGATTGAGATGTTCATAAAATCTTAGGATCTATCTGTTAAGGAATCCCTTCAGAATATTTTCCTTGTAGAAAATCAGGTCAAAAATAAGTAATTATTGAGCCTGAATTTATTTCTTGTTATGTTATTGTGGCCTAGCCCTGGAAGGATTTGGAATCAATTTGTCATTTATGCACCAAAGACTAAGGAGTTGATTTGGAATCTCCAGTAGGTCTACTGCCAGTAGGCAGTGCCACAGTAGGTAGGCAGTAGGCCTATTGCTTCGGTGCCTCCTGCCTAGCTAGATTATTAACTAGGAAAATGAAAAATTTTCACTCTTTTTGGCTTAAGCTTAATACCCAGCTTAGGCAAAGAAAAAATAAATTGAAGTTTTAGAAGAACTGTCCGAAGTCTGAATTGGAGAAGTATTGAAAAATTTTAGTTAAATCGAATTATTTTAAAATCGAATTGAAATAATTTGGTTACAAGCCGAACTAATTTTGGTTCGATTTCAGTTTTTATTTTTTCTACTTCGGTTAACCAAAAATTGAACCGAATTATGCTTAACCGAACCATTTAATCGAATGATCACCCTTATCACCTCCTATAAATAAAAATCCCTTCTTTTTCTTATTCATTTTAGTTTTTTT